TTGGATAATTTTGGTATGCATGAACTCGTGAGAGTATGAGGATTCTGAAAATATAAATTTTACCCGATTCCGAGACTTGGGCCCAAGGGGCGTTTTGGTCATTTTACCTAATTTCGCGTATTAGCTTAGAATGTGTTTGTAGAATTAGTTACTTGAAGTATTATTTTTATTCTGCAATTGAATTGAATTAATTTGGGCCATTTGGAGTTGAGTACTCATGGCAAGAGCATGGTTTCAGGTTGATTTTGAGCTGTTCGAGGTAAGTGGCTTGCCTAACCTTGTGTGGGGGACCTTCCCCTTAGGACTTGGTATATTTGATAATTGAAATGCCTTGTACATGAGGTGATGAGTGCGTACTTGAGCTAATTGTTGAAAATTCGGTTTTCCTTAAGTAGTTTCAATTGTGTTCCTTTTCCTGTTTTATACTACTTGCAATTTAAGCCTGTTGTTAGCTTAGAAAAACCTGTTTAATTGACTTAATGTCTTATTTGCTTAAACTGACTTAATTGTATTATGTGAAGCATGTTAGGTTAGAATTAACTATTTTACTTGGTACGAAATTTAGTTCAAATTGAGTATTCTCTGTGTTGCTGCTATGTGTTTTACTTTGGGACGGCATCCCGGGAGATCCCCTGTATGTATTTATGATTTGAGCTAAGGTGAGGGATACCGAGAGATCCCTAGCACGTATAATGAGGATACCAAGAGATCCTCCGGATACCAAGATATCCCTAGAATGTATTGAGGATACCAAGAGATCCTCGGGATTACCAAGAGATCCATGACTTATATTGAGGGTACTAAGAGATCCTCGGGATACTGAGAGATCCTTGGTTATTATCTTTGTGAAGAGTGGTATTTCCATGTGATTGTTTTTGTCTCTATTCCAGTTATTGTATTCCTTATTATCCTGTATTAAATTCTTACTGTTCTCTTTCAATTGTACTACTTATCTTATCATGTCATCCCTAATATTTTATTTAATCTCAGTAGGGCCCTGACCTTCCTCGTCACTACCCGACCGAGGTTAGGCTTGGCACTTACTGAGTACCAATGTGGTGTTCTCATGCCCCTTTCTGTGCATGTTTTTCATGTGCAGATCCAGGTACCTCCACTCAAAATTATCACGCTTGAGACGAGGCGTTTATAGAGACTCCGAGGTATATCTTTCGCGTCCGCAGACCGAAGAGTCCCTTTCTACTCTCCCTTTTAAGTATTAGTCCTTCTTTATTTTCTTTCCTTTGTTAGAAATTCTAAAGTTAGATTCTTGTAGACATTCAAAGGCTTGTGATCATGAGATTCCGGGTTTCAGGAAAATGTATTAGTTTTTTAAGAGTTATTATTGTGTATGCCGAGCGACACTTTTAAACGCTGTTTTATTTCACTATTTCGGTTTTTGATTGTTTCTTCCGCAAATTGGTTTATTTTTTGCATTGTTAGGCTTATTTAGTCATAGAGACTAGGTGCCGTCATGATGGTTCACGGAGGGCGAACCGGGGTTGTGACAAGTTGGTATTAGAGCTCTAGGTTCATAGGAGTCATGAATCACAAGCCGATTTATTAGAGTCTCGCGGATCTGTACGGAGACGTATGTAATTATCTGCGAGAGGCTATGTAACTATTAGGAAAATTCCACTTCATTTGATTTCCTTGTCGTGCGAGATTTTGATATCACGATTCTAAACTTCTGTCTTCTATTCTCTCACAAATGATGAGGACATGTGCTACCAGAGATGAGTCACTCGCGCCCCTTACTGCAACCGTCAGAGGCTGGGGGCGGGGTAGAGGCCGAGGTCGTGAATGTGGTGCAGCTAGAGCACCAGCACGAGTTTTCGCCGAGGTGCCACCAGCAGTTCCAGTCGGAGTCTAGGCACTTGATACGCCTACTGCTACTACTACTCCAACACTTCAAGAGACTCTAGCGCAGTTCATGAGCATGTACACCACTTTGGCTCAGTCAGGGTTGCTTCCCCTTGTTGCTGCTACATCCCAGGCTGGGGGAGGAGCATAGACTCCCGCTGCCCGCACTCCTGAGCAGTGAGTGCATATGGATCAGGTTCCAGAGATTATTCATGTACCACCTACAACCCCAGGTCAGCCCGAGGATAGGGCAGTGGTTTCAGAGGATTAGCAATGGAGACTTGAGAGGTTCAAGAAGTATGATCCTCCTATATTCAATGGGTTAGCTTCAGATGATGCCCTAGGATTTCTGGAGGAGTGTCATCGTATCCTCCGCACTATGGGTATATCAAGTTTGAGTGGGGTGTCTTTCACTGCCTTCCAGTTTTGAGGAGCCACCTATGAGTGGTGGCGCACCTATGAGTTAAACAGTCCGGATGAGGCAGCTTCATTGACTTGGACTTGGTTTTCAGATATGTTCCTGATGGAGTTTGTTCCTTAGAGCCTCAGGGATGCATGGCGTGCAGAGTTTGAGTATTTGTGCTAGAGTGATATGACTGTCTCGGAGTATGCTGTCTGTGACACCAATTTGGCTAGACATGCCCCAACCTTGGTTTCTACTATTCGCGAGAGGGTTTTCCAGTTTATTGAGGGCTTATTCCCAACATCAAGTCTACCATGGCTCGTGAGTTGGAGTTGGAAATATCTTATCAGCAAGTGGGAGCATTGCTAGGAGGATTGAGGGTATGCATGCTAAGGAGAGAGAGGAAAGGGAGGCCAAGAGGTCTCGAGAGTTGGGACATTATTCTGGTGCCCGTGCCCTAGCTGCAGGTCGTCATGGTAGCGGTTATATGAGTTGCCCTATTCATTCAGATCTTCAGCAGCCAGTGGTATTCCAGCTCCTCCTGCGCCTTAGGAGCCTTATTATGTACCTCCGGTATCTAGCGTGCCTCTTGTGTGGGGTGCTTTCAGAGGTCAGTCCAGCAGATCTAGCCCAAGCCAGCCACAATCGTCACGTCCTGCCAAAACTTATTTTGAATGTGGTGAAATATGCCATGTGGTAAGGGATTGCCCCAGACTTGGGAGGAGTGCGCCTTCATATACCTCTCAGCCACAACGTGCCCCGCAGAGTTCTCTGGTTATGGTTACAACTCCAGTTGCTGCCCCACCTACTCAGCCAGCTAGAGGTGGAGGTCGGGGAGGTAGAGGTTGCCCTAGAGGGGAAGGACAGGTCCGATACTATGCCCTTCTTGCCCGTACCGAGGTTGTTGCCTCCGATTCTGTTATCACAGGTATTATACTGGTTTGTCACAGAGATGCATCGGTTCTATTCGATCCAGGCTCCACTTACTCTTATGTGTCTTCTTATTTTGCTCCGCATTTGGGTGTACCTTGGGATTCTTTGAGTTCCCCTGTTTATGTTTCTACTCCTGTGGGAGATTCTTTTGTTGTGGACCGCGTTTATTGGTCGTGTTTAGTTTCTCTTAGTGGTTTTGAGACCAGAGCCGATTTATTGTTACTCAGCATGGTAGATTTTGATATTATCTTGGGCGTGGACTGGTTGTTGTCCCATTATGCTATTCTTGATTGTCACGCCAAAACCGTGACGCTGGCTATGCCAGGTGTACCATGTGTTGAGTGGAAGGGTACTTTAGATAACACCCCTAGTAGAGTTATTTCTTTCCTTCAGGCTCAACGAATGGTTGAGAAGGGGTGTGACACGTATTTAGCTTATGTGAGAGATGTAAGTATTGATACCCCTTCAGTTGATTCAGCCCCAGTAGTACGAGATTTTCCTAATGTGTTTCCAGCTGATCTTCCGGGCATGCTGCCTGATAGAGATATCGATTTTAGCATTGATCTGTTGCCGGGCACTCAGCCTATTTCTATTCCTCCATATCGTATGGCTCCTCCAGAGCTGAAGGAGTTGAAGGATTAGTTACAGGAATTGCTTGATAAGGGTTTTATTAGGCCCATTGGGTGCTCATGTCTTGTTTGTGAAGAAAAAGAATGGTTCTATGTATATGTGTATTGATTATTGCCAGTTGAACAAAGTTACAGTGAAGAACCGATATCCTTTGCCTTGTATTAATGATCTGTTTGACCAGCTTCAGGGCGCACGGGTGTTTTCTAAGATTGACTTACACTCAGGTTACCATCAGTTGAAGATTCGGGAGCCAGATATCCTGAAGACTACTTTTAGGACTCGGTATGGTCATTACAAGTTCCTTGTTATGCCATTTGGGTTGACCAATGCCCCAGCAGCCTTTATGCATTTGATGCATAGTGTGTTTCGGCCGTATCTTGGCTCATTCGTCATTGTCTTTATTGATGATATTCTATTGTATTCACAGAGTTGGAAAGAACCCGAGGACAGTGCTTCACACCTTGAAAGAAAAGAAGTTATATGTTAAGTTCTCGAAATGTGAGTTTTGGTTGGATTCAGTGGCATTCTTAGGCCACGTGGTATTGAGTGAGGGTATTCAGGTGGATCTAAAGAAAGTAGAGGCAGTACAGAGTTGGCCAAGACCATCCTCAGCTATAGAGATCCACAGTTTGCTTGGATTGGTGGGTTACTACCGTCATTTTGTTGAGGGGTTTTCATCGATTGCAGCCCCTATGACCAGGCTGACCCAGAAGGGTGCTCCGTTCCAGTGGATGGAAGAGTGTGAGGCGAGGTTTCAGAAGCTTAAGATAGCTTTGACTACAGCCCCAATTTTGATATTGCCTACAGGTTCGGGGTCTTATACTTAGGGGTGGGCACAAAAACCAAAAAACCGAATTCCGAACTAGACCGAATTAATTCAATATTTCGGTTTCGGTTTTTTTTGGTATTTCGGTACTACATTTTCAGTATATCGGTATTTCGGTACGGTTCTCGATATTAGGATCTTGAAATTTCGGTATACCAAAATACCGAATTAACCAAATTTTTTAAAGACCTTCTAAAATAATTCCCAGGTGCCAGCCCACCCCAGCACCCAACAATTTTTTATAATTCCCAGCCCGCTCCAACGCCTTAGCCCAAGCCCAATAATTCAATTAGGGTTTAAACTTTAAAGAGTGAAGACTCTAAAACTAAAACCTAAACTTCTAATTTCTAAAGTCGTCTTTGTCTAAACAGTAAACTCTGAACCTGAAGAGAAAAATTAGGGCAGACAAGCGACGGCACAACTCCTCAGACGGGCGACTAGCGAGCGACAGACGGTGGGACGGGCGACGACAGTCAACTCCTCACTGTACGGGAGGTGAACATTGTACAGAGATGGAGATGATATTAGGCATATGGGTTTTAGACTTTACATTGATTACAATAGTTGTCTATATTTATTTGCTTTGTTATAATTCTGCTCTAGCTGTTAGTTTGAAATTGAGAACCCGAGATAAAATTGTTCATAGTGTTATAATTCCTCTATGACTTCATGCTATATTTCCTTGCACATGTGAGAAACCATTAAATTTTGGTTTGTTCTGCATTTGTTTGAACCTGATGAATTTGATGATTGCAAACCTTATCTTAAATGCAGTTGCTTTGGTCGTGTTCAATGTTGTCGGATCAGGGACACCTGTTGCTATAGAAAATTAGGTATGTTACCTTTCAGTGGTTGTTTTGTTTACTCTAAATTTTCTTTTGTCTTGTTCTCATTACTTTTTGAATATGCAATATCGTTGGATTACATATATATATATCAATTTTCATTGGAAGCTGCTTTGTGGGCGTGTTTCATCTTGGAACCAGAGATAGGATAATTTTCCATTTATTTCTTAGTGACACTCTTTACACAAAGGAGGTCTAGCCATCTCTTGTGGTTTTTGTTTAACATTTGGTAGTTGGCACTTAAATAACCATTAGTATTGTTTAACTAAAGAGTGGGCAATAATATTTTGAGTTGTGGAATTATGTTCGGTTACATTAAGCCTTGCATACATGTATATATTCCTCACCATTCTCAAAAAAGCCAAGTGCATACATGTTTATAGTTTTTATTATTCCATGAGGAAGTCAGGCTCTTTGTTGAGATATGGATTGGAAGAAATAATTATTTAAAATGCTCGATTTATTGTAAAACATGCAATGAGATCAAAAATCCAACAATTACAGTATTCATGTGCACCTCTTTCCTATATGACTTAACAAGTGACTGGAGTGGGCATGCAAAGTATCTTGGTTGGCCGAGATCTAAATGGTTGTGCTTTTGTGTACGGATCATTGAGTTTTTTGGATAAAATGATATGTGGGTTGGCTTTGTTCGTTCTCGAGTCAAATCAGAGTAAGCATTTGTTCATGTATCTCTGCTATCTTGGTCAATGGCCAGCTTCTATGTGTAGTCATCTAATTTTTCAATATCCATTTTTGAGCGTGTTTGGGGAAAACTAATGAATTAGCTCCATCTTAAGTTCATTAACAGAGTTAAGTAGTTAACAGTTTTGCCTTTTTATCAGCCAAGAACTTGTTACTTCACCCTCTTATTTTCAGTTTTTCATCATCTCTTTTTAATAAACTCTAGCAGAGATCCCTTTACTTTACTAAACTTGTTACAAAGAAGTCTGTAATAGCGCGCATAATTCATCTTACTTTTCTTAATAACCTAGATTATTTGTAATTTCCTTTCATCAGATAACTCTTCATTTACTTTGGCAAATGTATGTAGAATCCTCTCCAAAACTGCACAACTGCAGTACGAGATGCTCATTCTTCTCCCTCAATCGGTATGCACTAGGTCTCGTTTCAGCGGTTTGTGCACTACTTGGGGTAATAGTGACCTGCAGTATGGACCTCTAGACACCCACATTGAAACCTCTGGAGGAACCTCTACTGGGTTAACACCTAACTTTAGTGCCATGTTAAAGTTAGGCCAGCACGTTATTTTTACTTTTTTAGTGCAATGTTAAAGTTTAGAAACAGATTAGGAGTGTGTGTAAGCAGGATTTTTATCAGCATTTCGTTGTTCTTTATCAGCGAATATTAAACCAAAACTATATCGATCCAAAATAATAAATGCCTAACCATACCGAAATACTTTTGTACGGTATTTGGTATACACAATTAATAAACCGAATACCGAAATACCGAACCGAAATTATTAATACCAAACCGAAATACTGAATGCCCATTCCTACTTATACTGCCTATTGTGATGCCTCGAGGATTAGCCTTGGAGTGGTTTTGATGCAGGATGATAGGGTGATTGCCTACGCGTCCAGACAATTGAAAGTACACAAGAAGAATTATCTTGTCTATGACCTTAAGTTAGCTGCTATTGTTCAGGCCCTGAAGATCTGGAGTTATTATTTGTACGGTGTTCCTTGTGAGATTTATACTGATCATCGGAGCCTGCAGCACCTGTTCAGGCAAAAGGATCTAAATTTGCGCCAGAGGAGATGGTTAGAGTTGCTAAAGGACTATGATATCACTATTTTGTATCACCCGGGCAAGGCCAATGTGGTGGTCGATACCTTGAGTCATCGGGTAGAGAGTTTGGGGAGTTTGGCTTATTTACCAGAATCGGAGAGGCCTATGGCGATGGATGTTCAGGCCTTAACCAGCCATTTTATGAGATTGGATCTTTTGGAGCCAAGTTGGGTTCTAGCTTGTATGGTTTCTCGGTCTTCCTTATTTGATCATATCAGGGAGCGTCAGTATGATGACCGTTGTTTTCTTGTCCTCAAGGACAAGTTTCAGCATGGTGATGCCAGAGATGTGACTATTGGTGATGACGAGGTATTGAGGATGTAGGGTAGGATTTGTGTACCCAATGTTGATGGGCTTCGGGAGTTGATTCTAGAGGAGGCCCATAGTTTGCAGTATTCCATTCATCCGGGTGCCGCGAAGATGTATCAGGATTTGAGACAGCACTATTAGTGGAGGCAGATGAAGAAAGATATAGTTGGATTTGTCGCTCGATGCCTCAACTGTCAGTAGGTGAAGTATGAGCACCAGAGACCGGGTGGGTTGCTTCAGCAGATAGAGATCTCGGAGTGGAGGTGGGAGTGGATCACCATGGACTTTGTAGTTGGGCTCCCATAGACTTGGAGAAAGTTTGATGCTATTTGGGTGATTATGGATTGCCTGACCAAGTCCGCACACTTCATTCCTGTGTGTACTACTTATTCTTCGGAGCGGTTGGTGGAGATTTATATTCGAGAGATTGTTCGTCTGCATGGTATTCCAGTTTCCATCATTTTAGACAGAGGTACTTAGTTCACATCACAATTCTAGAGGGCGGTGCAGCATGAGTTGGGTACTCGGGTGGAGTTGAGTACATCATTTCACCCTCAGACGGACAGACAGTCCGAGTGCACTATTCAGATTTTTGAGGATATGATCTGTGCGTGTGTTATTGAGTTTGGAGGGTCTTGGGATCAGTTCTTACCATTAGCGGAGTTTGCCTACAATAACAGCTATCAGTCCAGCATTCAGATGGCACCATATGAGGCTTTATATAGTAGGCGGTGTAGATCCCTGGTGGGTTGGTTTGAGCCGGGTGAGGCCAGATTATTGGGCACAGACTTGGTTCAGGATGCTTTGAAGAAGGATAAGGTGTTTCAGGATAGACTCCATACAGCCCAGTCCAGACAGAAGAGTTACACGAACCGGATGGTTCGTGATGTTTCCTATATGGTTGGAGAGCAGGTTCTGCTTCAGGTTTTGCCTATGAAGGGCGTTATGAGATTTGGGAAGAAGGGGAAGTTGATTTCGAGGTTTATTGACCCTTTTGAGACATTGAGGTGTGTTGGGGAGGTTGCTTAAGAGCTTGCCTTACCTCCCAGCTTGGTAGGAGTTCATCCAGTATTTCATGTTTCTATGCTCCGAAGCTATCATGGTGATCCGTCGCACGTGTTGGATTATAGTTCAGTCCAGTTGGACAAGGATCTGTCCTATGTTGAGGAGCCAGTGACAATATTGGACAGGCATGTTAGAAAGATGAGGCCAAAGAACATTGCATCAGTAAAGGTTCAGTGGTGGGGTCAGCTAGTCGAGGAGGCGACCTAGGAGACCGAGCAGGATATGCACAGTCGTTACCCTCATCTTTTCACTACTTCAGGTTGTCTCTATGCTTGTTCGAGGACGAACGAATGTTTAAGTGTAGGAGGATGTGACGACCCGGCCGGTCGTCTTAAAAATTAATGCCCTGATCCCATATTAACGGTTTTTTCTGTGTTTGTTTCTGCTATTTTGATTTGCCAGGATGTTCGGTTTTGGGTTTCAGAGTGTTTTGGGACACTTAGTCTCTAAATAAGAGCTTAGGTTTTGGAAATTTGACCGTAGTCGGAACAGTGTGAAGACGGTCTCGGAATGGAATTGTGATGGTTCTGTTAGCTCTGTTGGGTGATTTCGGATTTCGGAGCGTGTTTGGATTATGTTTCGGAGGTCCGTAGCTAATTTAGGCTTGGAATGCCGAAAGTTGAATTTTTGAAGTTTCCGGTTCGATAGTGAGATTTTGATCCGAGGGGCGGAATGGAATTCTAGAAGTTGGAGTAACTCCGTAGTGTTGAATGTGGCGTGTGTGCAAAATTTCAGGTCATTCGAACGAGGTTTGATAGAACTTTTTATCGAAAGCGTATTTTATGAGTTTTTGAAGTTTTTAGGCTTGAATCTGATGTTAATTTGGTGTTTTGATGTTGTTTTGAGCGTTCCAAATGCTGGAACAAGTTTGAACTATGTCTTAGGATTTGTTGGCATGTTTGGTTGAGGTCCTAGGGGCCTCGGGTGAGTTTCAGGTGCTTGACGGAAGTTGAATTTTGACTTAGGAATTTGCATTGCTGAACCTGTCATAACCGCACCTGCGTGTGTGGGACCACAGGTGCGGTGCCGCAGAAGCGGCTAGGTGGCCACAAAAGCGAGTTTGGGCTAAAGTTCCAGGACCGCAGGTACGACTGTGTTTTCGCATATGCGGTGTTGCATATGCGGCCAAGCGATCGCAGAAGAGGACCCAACCCGTTAAGTGATTTTTGCATCTGCGATGCCTTCTTCCGCAGGTGCGCTCCCAGAACCGCAGATGCGGTTTCACTGGTCAGAAAATAGGGATTTCGAGGGTTTAGTTTCAAAACTTGGAAAAACCAAATTGGATCTCGGGAGAGGGCGATTTTGGGAGGAAGTTGAAGAGGAAATCATTGGGTAACAATTCTTTAACCCTTTCTAGTTATATTCCATCAATCTATTGTTAGTTTTATCATTTAATTTCGGATTGGAGATGAAAATTGGGGAAAAGTTGGAAGAAAATTCTTAGATCTAGAATTCAAATTTTGATTGGGAATCTGACCTTTGATTTGGATAATTTTGGAATGCATGAACTCGTGAGAGTATGAGGATTTTGAAAATATAAATTTTACCTGATTCCGAGATGTGGGCCCTAGGAGCATTTTGGTCATTTTACCTAATTTCGCGTATTAGCTTAGAATTTGTTTGTAGAATCAGTTATTTAAAGTGTTATTTACTTTATGCAATTGAATTAAATAGATTTGGGCCATTTGGAGTCGAGTACTCGTGGCAAGAGCATGGTTTCGGGTTGATTTTGAGTTGTTCGAGATAAGTAGCTTGCCTAACCTTGTGTGGGGGACCTTCCCCTTAGGACTTGGTATATTTGATAATTGAAATGCCATGGATGTGAGGTGATGAGTGCGTACTTGAGCTAATTGTTGAAAATACGGTTTTCCTTAAGTAGCTTCAATTGTGTTCCTTTTTCCTGTTTTATACTACTTGAAATTTAAGCATGTTGTTAGCTTAGAAAAGCTTTTTTAATTAACTTAATTGCTTATTTGCTTAAATTGACTTATTTATATTATGTGAAGCATGTTATGTTAGAATTACATGTTTTACTTTGTACAAAATTTAGCTCAAATTGAGTATTCTTTGTGTTGCTGCTGTGTGTTTTACTTTGGAACTACGGGACGACATCCCAGGAGATCTCATGTACGTATTTATGATTTGACCTGAGGTGCGGGATACAGAAAGATCCCTAGCATGTATATAGAGGATACCAAGAGATCCTCGGGATACCAAAAGATCCCTAGAATTTATTGAGGATACCAAGAGATCCTCGGGATACCAAAAGATCCCTAGAATTTATTGAGGATACCAAGAGATCCTCGGGATACCAAGAGATCCTTGGCATATATTGAGGGTACTAAAAAATCCTTGGGATACCGAGAGATCCCCGATTATTATCCTTGTAAAGAGTGGTATTTCCTTGTAATTGTTTTTGTCTCTGTTCCAGTTATTGTATTCCTTATTTTACTGGATTAAATTCTTACTATTAGCTTTCAATTGTACTGCTTATCTTATCCTGCCATCCCTCATATTTTATTTAATCTCAGTAGGGCCCTGACTTTCCTCATCACTACCCGACCGAGGTTAGGCTTGGCACTTACTGAGTACCGTTGTGGTGTACTCATGTCCCTTTTTGTGCATGTTTTTATGTGCAGATTCAAGTACCTCCAATCAGACTTATCACGTTTGAGACGAGGCATTTGTAGAGACTCCGAGGTATATTTGCCGAGTTCGAAGACCGAAGAGTCCCTTTCTACTCTCCCTTTTAAGTATTATCCCTTCTGTATTATCTTAAGTATTAGCCCTTCTATATTTTCTTTCCTTTGTTAGATATTCTGGAGTTAGATACTTGTAGACATTCAAAGGCTTGTGATCATGATATTCCAGGTTTTGGGAAAATATATTAGTTTTTTTATAGTTGATATTGTGTATGCCGAGCAGCACTTTTAAACATTGTTTTGTTTCACTATTTCGGTTTTTAATTGTTTCTTCCATAAATTGGTTTATTTTCCACATTGTTAGGCTTACCTAGTCGTAGAGACTAGGTGCCGTCACGATGGTTCACGGAGGGCGAACCGGGGTCGTGACAAATCTACTCTGGACCTCAAAAACACATTCTGATCACGCACATATGTCCTAAATCACCTCCCAAAGCTATCTGAACCATCAAAATTCACATCCGAGTCCTTTTCACATACGTCAACGTCCGATTGACTTTTTCAACCTAAGCTTACTGAAGAAAGACTAAGTGTCTCATTCCTTTCCAAAACCTCTCCAAATCCAAACCAACCAACCCGATATCACATAATACAGCTGAACAAGACAATAAGAAGCAGAAATGGGAAAAACGGAGCGGTAATTCATGAAACGATTGGCCGGGTCGTTACACTAAACATTTTAATTAACCTCACAAAATATAAGCTCTATCCAAAAAGTTCAACACTTACTCCTAAAAATTCAATTCACAAGAACAAAGCCTAAAAGCCCAATTCAATTCAAAGTTAAACATTCAATTCCTAACTAAACTATTCAAGTCAATACAAACTTAAACATTCAATTTACGTCATATGTAATAAATTCAATTCAATTAAAACATGACCTAAACACTAGATTTCAATAAAATGCAAAGTTAAAAAATCAATTAAAATACCGATTACCTAATTCATAACAGATTAACAAAACATTAAATTTATAAATAAAATATGTAAGTTCTAATTAAAATCTGGAATTTTTAGGAGTGTAACGACTCGACCGGTCGTTTTGGGAATTAGCATCCCGTTTGGTAGCTTAAGATCTCGAGCAACTTCGTATAATGTATTATGGCTTGCGTGTGTGATCAAGTTTGGTTTTCGGATGATTTGGGATCAATTTGGAAGAATAATTCTTATTTTAAAAGCTTAAGTGATAAGAGTTGACCGGAGATTTGACTTTTATGTAGACGACTCTAGAATGATATTTTGATTACTCCAATAGCTTTTTAGTGATTTTGGACTTAGGCACACATCCGAATTTTGATTTGGAGATCTATAGGTTAAATTGATGCATTTTGGCAAAAATCGAAAAGCTGAAGTTTTGAAATATTCATAAGTTTGACCATGAGTTGACTTTGATGATATCGAGCTCGAATATTGATTCCAGAAATTTGAATACCTTTGTTATGTCATTTATGACTTGTGTGCAAAATTTTAGGTTATTTTGAGTCAATTTGACATGTTTCGGTGCAAATTATAGAAGTTGGAAGATTTGAAAATTCGTAAGTTCGATTTGAGGTGCAATTCATAATTAAGGCATTATTTGATGTGATTTGAGGCCTCAAGTAGGTCCATATTATGTTACAGGACTTATTTATATGTTCGTACGGGGTCTCGAGTGGCTCGGATGAGTTTCGGACGAGTTTCGGATCATTTTGGAAATTGTGTTAAGGCTGGTTTTTGGCAGTCATAGATGCAATTGCACCTGCGATGGATTTAACCGTGGGTGCGAGACCGCGTGGGCGAGGCAGTGATTGCAGAAGCGAAAATGGGAAGGACCAGGTAGTGGTCACAGGTGCGAAGTATTTCCTGCACCTGCGTAAACGCAGAAATAGAAAATAAAGGCGCAGAAGCAGAGGCCTTCACAGGTGCGCTTCTTGGCTCACAAAAGTGACCCCGCAAGTGCCTGTGTACTGCTCGTAGGTGCGAAACTTACGCAACTAAGTGAAGTCCGCAGGTGCGATATTTTTCTGGCAAAAGCGAGCTCGCAAGCGCGCAAATCCATACCACAAATGCGAGGAAACTGGGCAGAATCATATATTCGTGGTTTGCCATTTTTACTAATTTTGGAGTTTTGGACCTCTATTTTAGGTGATTCTTCACGAGTTTGATTTTGGTAAGTGTTCCTTAACCAAAAGTGATTGTATTTCATACATATTCAAGTCATTAGATTTGTGAATCAAATGGAAGAAAAAATGTAAAATGAAGATTTAAAGGAAAATTCGATATCGGAATTTGATAGTTTTGGTGATTGAACTAGCATCGGAATGGGTGTTTGGATTTCGTGAAACTTTTGTCGAGTTCCGAGATGCGGGCCTCGGGTTAACTTTCGGGTTGACTTTTTAGTGTAAAATTAAAAGCCGACATTTTATTACCCAGAATTATTTCCTATGAATTTTAATTATTTTATGAAATTATTTGGCTAGATTTGAGCCGTCTGGAGGCCGTTTCACGCGAGAAGGTCATTTTAGAGTATCGACCTTCGTAAAGGTAAGAATCTTGCATAACTTTGTGTGAAAAAAATACCCCTTAGGTTTTAGATTGATGGTACTGTTTGAATTATATGGAAGGCGTGTAGATAAGGTGATGAGTATGTAGACGGACTTGTTTGTGGTATTCGACCGGATTAGATCACTAGGCTTCTTTCATGCAATTAATTATAGTTACCGTTCATGTTATATCTTTCATCGTTAGGATCGCTCTTGCGTGCTTTACTTAAAGTTGTTAGTACATGATCCATCTTTCGTTATCAAGTTCATCCTTACATGCTATTGTAGATTGTAATTGTTTGTTGAATTCATGGGTTATCTGCTACATGCCTCAAATGTTAATTGATTCTCAGAAATTGTGTCTTAGTTTATGGGTTATCATTCCTTGCTATTTGATTTTATGGGTTATCGTGTAACTTTTTCATCAGTTGTGACTTCTTTGTATAGCCTCGTTATTCCTTTTGATTTTGTGGTATGTCATAGTTAGTTATAAATTATTTTCTTAAATGATGATATGTATGGGATCGGGTTGCACGCCGCAACAATAAAGAAAATGATGATATGTGTGGGATCAGGTTGCACACCGCAACAGTAATGAAAATGATGATATGTGTGGAATCAGGTTGCACGCTGCAACAATAATGAAAATGATGATATGTGTGGAATCAGGTTGCACGCTGCAACAATAATGAAAATGATGAAATAGCGGAATAAGGATGGATTATGATATTGATAGATGATTATATGGAGGGGTCATGTTACACGCCGCAACAGATTTGTTTAAAGTTTATATTGTGGGATCGGGTTTCGCGCTTCAACGGATTGTGTTTGTTGTACTCACTGTTGTATTTTGTTAGCTTTCAGTATTTATCATATGTGATTCTCAAAACATATATTTTGGATTTACTGATTTTGAGGATTGTGTTGTTTCCATTAGTTTACTGCTCTGCCATCATTCCATGCTTTCCTTTCATATTACTACTAATTTGGTGAATTGATTTTCAAGATGAATTTACTACGCTGAGTCATTATCTCATACTTTGTTGAGTTGTTGGTAACATATTGGTTTTCAAGTAAATGAATTTTTAACGTACCTTACTATTGTTAACAATTGTCACATTTCACTTTAATTGATTTCTCGAATTAAACTCCTTACTCTGTCTGATGATTTTATCTTACTTATGGATCATGTTATGTTTTTATTTTACAAACTCTAAATTTAATCCAGTGACTATCTGGTGCTTATTTTAATTAAAAATGCTAATTTCCTTCACCCAAATAATTTCTAAAATAAACTCATTTTTCTTAATTGTCTTTCCTACTTTAGAATAGGTTGTTATTATGCTTTCATGTAGATTAAATATCCTAAATATTGAAAAGTAGTATTTGATACGAGTACAAGATACATGGTAGCACGAGGATTTTGCCGTGCAAAAGTGATTTGGAAAATATGGGCACAAATTGCCATGTGTGTAAGGTTTGGAAGTTGTGACTTATAATATGAGATTACAAGATGTGATACTCAGGGTAATTATTATTGAAATTCGTACATTTGGACTGATTTGACTGACTAAGTTGTCATAGATTTCCCTTACTTGAACACATTCATATTTCAGCTATACCCGACTATGTTGTTGCTTAATTTCTTGGATGTTTTCGTTTCCATTCGTGTTTCCCTTATTTTCATTGTTGATGGTGATTTGAAATATTTCTATTTTTGGACTTATAATGATATTCCTTCCTTGCTAGTTTTATGTCATATCATGCATAAATTTTCATGTCTGCTAGGTGTCTTGACTTGGGCTCGCCACTACTCTAGCGAGGTTAGGATTGATACTTATTGGGTACTGCTATGGTTTATTAATGCTACGCTTCTGTATATTTTTGTGCAGATCTAGGTACTTATGATCTAATTGGTTGAAGACTTATGTATCCGTTGTTGGAGACTTCAAGGTATACATGTTCGACGTTTGTAGGCCCCGAATTCACCTTCTGTTGCATTTTATTTCTATTATCTCCTAATATCCAGGAACAATGATATACTCCTTATTTATAGTTACTCTTAGAAAGACTTGTAACTTGTATTATCGATTTTGGGATTTTTTAACTGAGGTTGGTTTGACTATGTTGTTATGGAAATTATTTAATTTATTGTAGCTAAGTTAGTTAAATTTCATTAATGCTCAGCATGTGTTAGGCTTACCTAGTTTTAGATACTAGGTGTCATCACGACTTCCTCAGAAGGATTTTTGGATCGTGACAAGTTGGTATCAGAACTATATGCTCATAGGTGCTACAAGTCATAAGAAAATTTAGTAGAGTCTTGCGGATCGGTACATAGATGTTTGTACTTATCTTCGAGAGGCTACAGAAACTATTAGAAAATTCCACTTCTTTCATTCCTTATCATGCGGCATTGATTCAGCTTGAAACATATATCTCATATTCCTTTGCATCCACTCGTGTATGATATTGTGCACTCGGTATCAGTTGTGTGCCGGTGGTTCGCAATGCTGCGAATGGGTTACGAGGGAGCCAGGGATGCTCAAACATTGTCTCACATGTCATCCAAACTTAGGATGCAGAGGTATTGAGAGATCATTATGTAGTTCACATGGT